TTAATTGAAATACATTGTAAGAAATACAATAGTTTAAACAACTGGAGTTGTTGCAATTTCAACGACTGGTGGTGCAGATTGGTGAACCTCTTGAGTAAATGGATCAATATATCTTGGTCTTCTTCCAGATGTAGTATGAGGTTGACTAGTACTAACAGGTGGGGTTGCAGTTGGTGGAAGAGGAGAGCTTTGAGGAGGTAAAGGAGAAGAAGGTGGCATAGGACTTGGAGTAGAAGAGGTTTTGTTATTTAATTCACTTTGTTTTATCCACTTTTGACTAGCCTCATCAAAAACTAACTTATCTTCAGTCTCTTCGAGATTCATATTTGTGGCATTTCCTTTTCCAAACCATGAACCAAACCAACCAGACATTCTTTTATTATATAAGATTTTATAGTTTTCTTTTTCCTCTAATTCATTCTTCCCTTCTTCTTTTTTCTTTTTTTTTTTATCTCTTTTTCTTCTTTCTTCTATATTTTTTTATTTTACTTTTAACTATTTATTATTAGGGTTCTCATAATTTACTTTTTAGTTCTTATTGTTTTTGTTTTTTAACAAAACTTCTGTAAACTCAATTTATATAGCTTAATAAATATGAACCTTTAATTAATGATCACTCCTTTTCTTCAGACTCTTGTGATTCTTCTTCATTTTCGTTATTTATAATTTTCATTTGCCCATCTTTTGTCTCTCTGACTGATGGTTGTTCTTTATACAAATCATAAATTTGTTTATTTGTTGTGATATCATTTACTTCCTTATCATCTCTAGTTCTGATATATCTTGGAAATCTTAGACAAACTCCTCTTCCTTCTGTATTAACCAATTTTATACCAGCCCTATATTGCAGTGATAATGATAAATCAGCTCCTTTAATTTCCCATACATCTTTTGGTTCAAACCAGACATCAGGAAGATTATCTCCATGTTTTACATTCTTTTTTTCTTTACATTCTAGAGTTTTCAAATGTTCATACAACTTTTGTAAAGCTTCATCACTAAACCCAGTCCCAACTTTTGTAACTGTCTCAAAATCTCCACTGTCTTCATCTCTACATGCCAATAAGAATGCCCCATATACTCCAGCTCGTTTTCCTTCTCCCATCCAAGCCCCAACTGGAACAAGATCAACAGTATCAGCTAATCCATTTAAGTAATCTTTTTTTAATTTATACCATGTATCAGTCCTTTTGTCAGGAATATATTCTGCATCATAGACAAGAGTTTTACACATCAATCCTTCTGTTCTATGATTTATGGCCTCTTCAAAAAATGGTAAAATGTCTTCCTCATTTTCAATATTCTTAAATCTTGCAAACAAGAATCTCTGTGAAACTTCATGAAATGTTGAATGTAAAATATCACGACGTTCTTTTAATGGTTTATCCATTAAATCTTTGCCATTTAAATAAACAATGTCAAAAACATTTACACACACATTAATGGCAATAGAATGAACTGACACTCCTTTTTTTGCTCTTCTTCCAAGAATTTGAAATTCTTGGAATTCATTTGTTTCTCTATTAAAAGCAACAATCTCACAATCTATAATAAATGATTGAACATTTGAATTAACTGCTTCTTTTACTGCCTCAATAACATCAGGATATTTTTCAGTATAATTTTCAAGGTTTCTTGTAAAAACCATAACTTTATTTTTATTAAAATGAATTTGACCACGTTCACCATCATACTTATATTCAGCCGTAAATGGAAATTTGAATCTAGAAGTAATATCAGTTACACTTTTCTTAGGTTTAGCTAACATTGGTCTAAATGGAATAAATAATTGAACTGCATTTGTTTTAGCAAATTCTTCAAAGGGATCATTTGCTGTTATATGTTCAGATAAATACTGAAATGATGGAACACGAGCAACAGCGTTTGTAATTAATTCAGTTAATTCTTCTATTCTATTATTTTCTTTTCTTATTGAACAAACTGCTTGTGCTATTGCAGGAGGTAAAGATCTATCAGTAAAACCAATTCTAAAAACTCCCTTAAGTATTCTCAAAATAAAACGAATTTCATTTCCTATAGCTGCAACTAATAATGCAGTAATTTTATTCTTTTTAACATCGCTATTATCAGCTTCAAGAATCTCTTTCATACGAAGTACAACTCCTTGAATTGTAAGTGGCTTTGGTTGAACTAATAACTTTTGATTCTTCTTTGAGTTTTGAGCTACAATTCCAATATCACCTAATTCTCTTATTTTATCATTTAACTGACTCAGTTTTAGTCCAGTGACACCTTTTACAACATCTTTTAAAATAGCGTCTCCAATTCCTAATTCTTTTCCTTCCCAGGTGGGAGCAATTTGCCCAGTAGTTAAATTTAAGACATCAGTCAAATCGTTAGGACATATGGCTATTACTGTTTTAAGATAATTGGCATAAATCTCTCTTTTCTTTAACTTTCCAGTTTCATTTTCTAAAGCATCAAAACAATCAGCCAAACCTTTGAACGGTAAAGTTTTTACTTTCTGTTCAACAAAAGAATTACCATCTTCTTTTATCTGTAAATTTTGATTTTTTTCTTCAGTGGACTCTTGTTCTTTTTTGTTTTCATCTCCTTTTTCATCAACTTTATTTTCTCCACTCTTTTGGTCTCCGGTTGTAGTTCTTTTGGCAGGTTTAAAGAACCGTGAGAGGGAGGATTGTCTTTTTGACATGAAATAAAGATTTAAGTTTAAAACGAAAAATAACTGAGATATTCAAATAGTGTTATTTATACAAAAATATCAGAACTTCTAAAAAAAAACAATGAAAAAAAAAAAAAGAAACTCAAAAATAAACGACTTTTTCACCTCTAAATCTAGATAAGAAGGAACTGTAAAACACAATTAAGAGAGAAATGAGCACCTTAGTAGTAGACAATGGAACTGGATTTGTTAAATGTGGATTTGCAGGAGAAAACTTCCCAACAGCCATCTTTCCATCAATGATAGGAAGACCTCTTTTAAGATCTGAAGAAAAAATTGGTGAAGTTGAAATTAAAGATGTTATGTTTGGAGACGAAGCAGCCGCTGTAAGACAAAATCTTCAAATCACTTATCCATTAGAAAATGGAATTATCAAATCATGGGATGATATGGAATTATTATGGAACTACACATTTAAAGAAAAATTACATGTTGAAACTAATGGTAAATCTGTTTTATTGACCGAACCACCAATGAACCCACTTCAAAATAGAAAGAAGATGGGTGAAATTATGTTTGAAAAATTTGGATTTAATAGAGTATATGTTGCTGTACAAGCTGTTTTAGTCTTATATGCACAAGGTATTATGACTGGTGTAGTTGTAGATTCAGGAGATGGAGTTACACATATTATTCCAGTGTATGAAGGATGTGATTTACCATCAGTTAAAAGACTTGATGTTGCTGGTAGTGATATTACTAGAAGACTTATTGAACTTCTTCTTGTTAGAGGATATTCATTCAATAGAACAGCTGATTTTGAAACTGTCAGAATGCTTAAAGAAAAGTTCTGTTATGTTGGATATGATCTTGCTGTTGAAAATAGACTTGGTACTGAAACCACTGTTCTTATGCAACAATATACTCTCCCTGATGGAAGAGTTATTAAACTTGGACCAGAACGTTATATGGCACCAGAGATTTTATTCAATCCATCATTAATTGGTAGAGAATCACTTGGTATTCATCATTGTCTCTTTGACTCAATTAATCAGTGTGATTTAGATCTCAGAGCTGAACTTTATAAACATGTTCTTCTTTCTGGTGGAACTTCAATGCTTCCAGGTTTACCTTCACGTTTAAAGAAAGAAGTTCTTCAATTGTATGATGAAAATGCTGCTGCTACTCTTAAAAAGGGATCTGCATCAGTTACTTCTCGTGCAGGAAATTCTGGTAATAGTAATGTTAAGAAGGCTAGTGTGCAAATTGTCATTGAAGATCCACCAAGAAGAAAACATTTAGTTTTCCAAGGTGGTGCTGTTTTAGCTAAAGTTATCGAAGATAGAGATGAGGCTTGGGTTACAAAGGCTGAGTATGATGAAAAAGGTGTAGGCGCTATGTTGAAGAAACCTGGTTTCTAAAAAAGAAAAATCGTCTAATCGTTCAAAAACAAATTTTTTCAATAAATTTATGTTTTTGTTTTTTTTAATATTTTTGTTTATAGAGTTATTAAATTATTGAATTTTGAGTTTTTACATTTCTTTATGTTTTTAATTACTGTAGTTAAATGACTTTTCTTTTGTAATTATTAATTAAATGAATAATTTCGTTATTTTATTTATGTTAATTTTATTTTTATTCTTCTTTTTTTTTTTAATATCTTTTAAAGTGAATGAGTATTTCTTTTTAATTTTAGAAGAATATTCCAATACAGTTGTATCATTTAATGCTGATAATAAATGAAGTTTCAATGAAAGAAATAATGAAAGATTATCTATTTGTTTAAGCGTTATATTTAATGGGTTACATTTAAAGAGTTTATTATCGTATTAATTTAAAAATACTAAGCTTGTTTTATGATTCTATTGAGTCTCTATTTGTCTTTACTTTTTTTAATGTAGCTATAGTTTTTTATATAGAACAATTACTTACCTATAATCGTAATGATAAAGAATTTGTTTTTTGAATGTTTTATATAGCCGGAAATTTTTTCTTTTTTGTTTGAATTGTTTCTTCAAAACTTATCGTTCTGTATTTCATTTGATAAATAATTAACTACTTATAATTTACTTTTATTTTAATCTTTAACAAATAAACATTTGTGAGTGATTAGACAAACAAGTATTGTCAAGTAATTAAATCATTCTTGAATATGAGTGTAGTTAATAAATCTTTTATGACAACTTTTTTGAATAGTTTGATATTGACTTAGTTTGTGGTATTTAAAATTTTTTTTTAGAATAAGAAAATTTTGTTTAAGAAAACAAAATTAAAGAAGAATATTGTTATCATAAAATATGAGTCTGTTTTCTTGTTTTTCAGAAGAAAAGTTATAAATTATTTTAACGAATAAAAGTATTACTAATAGACTGACCCACAAACAAAATCAGTCAAAATAATTGAAAGAACTTCGTTTTGTGTCAAAATGAATAACATGATAAAAAGAATATATTAATCAATTGATTATATTGTGTTCTTTAAAATAGTCTAAATTCAAAATATGTTTTTGTTCACTTCTCATCATTTTGATAGATTCAACAGTTATTGGTAATTCTGTTTTAGTAAGTTTCATACACCTCATACATTGGAATGTTTTTAAAGACTTGTTGAATTTTATTTCTTCTAAATTATCAAGATTATTTAATACCAAATCTTTTAATGATTCTGGACATTCAATAGTTTTAAATTCACTACTACTAATTTCTAATCGTTCTACCTGATTTCCAAGATGTAATGAATTAGAAAAACAATCTCTAATAATGATTTTCTTTGCAGTGGATTTATCAAGATTTAATTCTTGTCCTCTATAATAAAAAATATGAATTTCTTGACATTTTAACTTTTCAATTCCATTAAAGTCTTGTGGTTCATATAATTCTAATGATGTTAATTGTTCTAATGAACATTGTGGAATAGATGAGAATGTTAATTCTTTTAATTGTTGTAATTGACTTAAGTTAGTAATATTTTCTTTAAGTGCACTGAGTTCAGTTATTGTTGTTGGTAAAATCCATTCACATTGAACATCCATT